AAACATCGATCAGCTGCCTCCTGCACACCTCCCACTGGGGATGTGCCCGCAACCAAGGTACATGTCCTTGACTGGAATCGAACCTGGGACCCTTCAGTCCGCAGGCTGATGCTCTAGCCACTGAGCCAAACCAGTCAGGGCTGAACAATAAAGATTTTTTAAAAAAAAGAATAAAAAATAAATAAATAAACTGCATAGGTTCACTATACACCAGCAGTTCTCAACTTGTGGGTCGCGACCCCTTTGGCGGTCAAACAACCCTTTCACAGGGGTCGCCTAAGACCATCCTGCATATCAGATATTTACATGACGATTCATAACAGTAGCAACATTACAGTTATGAAGTAGCAACAAAAATAATTTTATGGTTGGGTCACAACATGAGAAACTGTATTTAAAGGGCCAGAAGGTTGAGAACCACCGCACGCGGTTATTTTTCAATAAACATATGGTTGGCCCTGTATCCCCAGGTTTTGTATCCAGAGATGCAGAGGGTCAAATGTATGCATAGTTCTATGCCAGTTTATACAAGGGCCTTGAGCATCTGTGGCTATTGATATGGGGCATGTGCTAGAACCAATCCTTCATTGAGGGACAACTACACAGTAGAAAAGTTTTGAGGGAGTCAAAAGTTTTCACTTCACAGGGTTGGCACTCCTAACCCCCATGTTTTTCAAGAGTCAACTGTATATAGCTTTGCATGTTAGTAACTAGTTATTCACTGAATGCCTGCTATGTGCCACATGACTTATGTCTCATTTAATCTTCACCGCATCACTATGAGTAGGCTTCATTATGCTTGATTTACAAATAGAGAAACCTGAGCCTCAGGGTCCAGGAAGGCTAGGGAACTTACAAAAGATCACACTGGGTGACACAGCTAAACCTCAAAGATGTTTGATTCCAAAATTAGCTCACTTTTCACAGTGTCATATTGCTTTCCATAATTCTTAAAAAACAAACAAACACAGTAGGGCATAACAAGGTTCTAGGATGTCTCTAATACAGTTTTCCATCATGTAATGTTTATACTTTACAAGTAAAATTACATTAATAGATGTTATGACTTTCACAGACCCAAAAGGTTACTGTTTATTTATTACACGTGATCTTATGTACTTCACTTTTCAGTTATTATCTGTCAGATAGCAATGTTGTTTAGAATAATAATTCTACACATAAAGGATGTGAGACATTTTTCTTACATAGCATCAACTGCAACACTGCTGAGAAAATCTGTTTGACATAAAAAAAACCCCACCATATATATACTATAAGCTCAGGTAGTACGTATAATCAACAAACCAGAATACATATCAACAAAGCAAAGGCTGGTTTTTTGAAAAGATGAAACTGATTAAGTCCCTAGCATGACTGAAAAAATTATTAAGCGATGTCAGAAGTGGAAAAATGAACACCACTACAGACCCTGTAGACATTAAAAAGATAATAATATTCATTCAAGGTGACTATTAACAGTGCCCTATAAAAATACAAAGAAGATAACCCCCCAAAGTATGGCTTACTGCCTTGTAGCACTCTTAATCAGTTTATTCTAGAAACCTTATTTCAGCGTTTTTTTCCCTCTCTAACATTCATTACTATACTAGTCTGTCTCTCCTATTCTTTGAATCATCTTTAGCATCCTGCTACTTTCCTCATTATTTATTTAATATATTTTTATTGATTTCAGATAGGAAGGGAGAGATAGAACATCAATGATGAGAGAGAATCATTGATCAGCTGTCTCTTGTACTGGGGATTGAGACCACAACCAGGCATGTGCCCTTGACCAGAATCGAACCCAGGACCCTTCAGTCCACACGCTGGCACTCTATTCACTGAGCCAAACCAGCTAGGGCAGTTATTTAAATAAATATTTGGCATATCTCATTTATACAAATAGTATAAACTAAGGAGAGGGGAATTTCATTAATTTGGTAAAATCTACAAAAAAGTAAATATTATGATGAATTATTAAAAGCTCCATTCACTGAACGATTGCAAATAAGTCAAGAATACATGCTATCATTCCTTTTATTCAAAACCATTCTGGAGGACTAGCTATCACAAGATAAGAAAAAAACGAGACATAAGGATTGAAAAGAAAAATGGTCATTATTCACTGAGGATATGACTGTGTGCAAGAAAATCCATAAAAATCCACCAACAAATATAAAAATTAATAAAGAAATTTAGCAAGGCTGCTGAATATGAGGGCCAATACACAAAAGTATTTTTTCTCTACAATAATAATAAAGAGAAAATAAAATTTCAAAAGGATTCCATTTAAAATAGCTTAAAAATCAATTAGCTAGAAGTTTAATGAAAGATGTGCAAGACTGAAAATTATATGACTGAAAATTATATTACTGAGAGAAATTAAAGAAGACCCAAGTAAGTGGAGGCAAGACCATGCTCTTGGAGACTCAATAGTGAAAAGATGTCACTTCTCCTCAAATGGATCTAAAGCAATACTGTCTAATGAAAATATGAGACTCACACATGTAATTTCAAAATTTCTAACAGCCACATTAAAAAAATAAAAAGAAATTGTTAAAATTAATTTTAATAATATGTATTTGTAAAACTAATATTGGTATATCCAAAGTATTATCATTTTAACATGTAATTAATAGATATATATTAATGAATATCTTGCTCTTGGGGGTACTAAATCTTCAGATCAGTGTACATTTTATGCTTATAGCACATGTGAATTTGGACTAGCCACATTTTTTGTACTCAGGAGTCACATGTGACTAGTGGTTACATATTGGACAGTGCAGATCCAGAGCGTCAATGTAATCATAATAAAAATCGCAGCAGATATTTTTGTGGACAACAACATGCTGATTCCAAAAGGTGCCTAGCAAGTCCAAGGACCAAGAACAGCAAAGGTAACCTTGAAGAACAAAACTGACAAACAAACATCATCAATTAATAAGACGTATTATAAAACTACACTGAGATAATGTGGTGTTGGTCTAAGTACACAGAAATATATCAATTAAACAGAATATGAGTCCAGAAACATATCTAGTCTCCTGACCATGATAAAGGTGACTACAGGGCCCTGGGAAAAGAATGGTCTTTTTATTAAATGGTGCTGGGTCAATATGATATCCTCTGGGGGAAAAAACGGATCTTGACTCTTAAAACACTAGGATACAAAAATCAATTCTAGACAGACTGTAGATCTAAACGGGAAATAAAAAGATAAATCTTTTAAAAGAAAACATGGGAAAATGTTTTCATAACATTGAGAATAATAAGCAAAGACTACTTAGGCAGGACATGTCAAACGACTGATAAAGGAAAAATGGATAACTGAGACTAAAAATGATGTGCTTACTTCCTCTTGATGGAAGGTAGGTGGCAATGTTGGTGAAGGTGCAAAAGGAGGTGGAGAGATAACCTTCCTTTCCTCTAGTTGGGCCATTATTTCCTTTCGTCTTCGATGTAGCTCATCTAGACTAGGGTGGGGCTGGGGAGGAGGAGGAAGCCGGCTATAAGGAGGCTCCTGAAAATGCAAAAATTGAAAAGAACTTCAGAACACATTAACTTATTTAGCACATATTTTAAATAAGCTTATTTAACATTTGGAAATACCAACATTTAAAACAAAGCAAAACAAATCCCCCGCCCCCCCAAATTCTCAGGATTTCCCAAAGAGTTATATTTAAGTTTCTCTTTTTGGTCAGAGGTCATAATTTCCAAATAGATCTAGAATTGCTAATAAAACCATCTAAAGTTCAGAAACTAAGAAGGGTTATTAGTGAGAGTGGGGTGGGAATTTTTTCCCCTTTAATCGTTTAATTTAAAACAAAAACCTACCCAAATTATGACAAGATGAAAAATAAGGGCATGCTTAATTTTATTCTTTAAAACAGATGTTCCACCAGCGGTTCTCAACCTATGGGTCGCGAACAATGAAAATACATCCTGAATATTGGATATTTACATTATGATTCATAACAGTAGCAAAATTATAGTTATGAAGTAGCAACGAAAATAATTTTATGGTTGGGGGTCACTACAACATGAGGAACTGCATTAAAGGGTCGCGGCATTAGGAAGGTTGAGAACCACTTTT